GACAGATTAAGAACAACACATCCCCTGCCTGGTCCTCTGTCTGTGTTTGCTCAGTTCTAAAGTAAGCAGAGATATTAACTTGCTTACATTTAAAAAATACATTCAGTTCCTGTTTTGATGCACAATGAAGGCTGGAGAAAGCTTTAAGTAAGAAATCAACTCCATCTTCCTTTCTTCTCTGCATCTTCCTAGTAGCATTTTATTAACCACCAATGTTGATTATTTTTGACTACTTATTTCTCTCTCCTTTCTCCCAGTAGAAGCATGTCAACCAGATCCATGGGAGTTGTTCAAAATGAACATTTTCAAATATTAACATATTTAATTCAGAATGAAATAGCTTCCTTAGTGCCTGGCCTACTTTTACCTAACTGGTGAAAAGCCAGGGCTACAAAGAAGTTTGAAGAAGTCGATGTCTTCTAGCAGTCTTCCTGTGCTGACCATGGTTTCACAGTGACTCTCCTGATGGACCTGCCCTGGTCTTCTCTCTGGTCAAGAAAATAAATTTCCTTGCAAAACTTTAGGCCTGCTGCTGCATTTGCTGCCAAACTATGAAGACTTCCTTGGCCTTTTATGGGATATTACTAACCATAGTGCAATATAGGATGGTAATGGAGAAAAAACGTGTGTCTCTGTATGTGCTGCAGTGGGTATTGCAGGAGCAATATCCCCTTCCTGTCATGTTTTGCTTTGTTGTTTTTGTTGTTTTTTTTTTTTTTTTTTGTTTTTTTTTGTTGTTTCATTTTGTTTTTTTTTACCAGGAACTTCCCAGCATAGGTGAAGAAGTGACTGGTGTCTTCCCCACCTGAAAACAAAACATTAGTGGAAAAAAAATGTACCTCTGCCAGTGATGCTCAAGGTAATGTAAAATTGCAAATATTGATAAGAAAGACCATGACCTATATTAGTGGCAGGCGAAGTCATAGAGACAAAGGTCGTATCATCAGGTTTGGTTAAGATATTTGGGTGAAGCTGGCTGATTGGAAGAAGTGATACGCCACTGGTGAGATTGATGCTTGGCAAGGGAAGCTGGAAGATATGAAAATTGGTCCCCTGGTGAGGTGAGTTCCCTGTGAGCAGAATGAAAATCAGGAATACTTTCTGCATGGAAATTGGGTTGACTTAAGGGAAGATGTGGGGAGGCAAAAAGCTTGGAGACCACTGGGCTATGAAGACAGGAATAGAAGGAGAATGAGATGCTTTGAGTGAGAAGGCTATAATGTAAAATAACAGGGTTAGTACCATCAGATCTCACAAGACTTTGTGTTTAAATAGGTGTATCAAATACTGTGCCTTCTCCAGCACTTCATGTGCTCTTTTCTTCCCTCACTTGGTATTTAGCCTTTGCTTGTGGTGGTGAATCAGACAGGTCACCCTAGTACATTGCTTCAGTCTGCCTTGTGCTCAGCAGGGCACCAAATTCATGGCTGGTCTTTGCCCTGTGACTCCCAGCTCCTCTTTCCTTTAGCACAGCAAATTTTCTCTGATCTGAATGTCTTCAGCTGCTGTCCTCAATGTAGGAGGCCCTTGTGTTTGGCAGCTGCTGCTGGATCAGGCCCATGCAACTGTTAACACAGCTTGTCTTCTCCAGCTTAGCTCCAGGTTATCAGAGTCTGAGGATGAAATCAAAGATCTTTGATCCCAGTGAAGCTACACTGCGTGTGACAAAAGCATCAGCAGCTGGAAGGCAGAGGGACCAGGACAAGTTTCATCAAGAAAGGACTAGTAGAGAAAGAAATTGCTGCACTGCTGGTTCCAAGAGAAAAACACTCTCTTAGAAAAAAAAACAACAACCAGTCCCCCCAAAAAACTCACAAAACCTAAACACACACACACACACAAAATATGGTGGTTGATTTATATTTCTATTATGGGCTTCCCCTGTTAGCTTGTTCATAGAGAAGAGCCATTCTCTGAGGTACTATTTATCTTTTCTAGAAACTTTCCTCCCCCAAGAAACTAGCATCAATGGAAAGAACAAATGTTGGGCCTGTGTTTGGAGGAGAAATCTATAAATGCAATGGAGAAGCTGTATTCAAGACTGCATGACCATTAAAATGACCATTACATCCAGAAACTTTTAAAAGTTTCTCCAGTAGCAGCATTTCTCCCAAATTCTGTTAAGGGAGTGTTTCGAGAGTAAAAAAAAAAAAAAAAACATTATTCCCAATCAGATTTTTCTTTTTTCTTATTTTGCATGGGTGTCATCAGGAAGATAGGGGATGATAAGAGCAGCTGGGGACAAGTTGGGTGCAAGAGTCATGAAGGACAAAGTCAAACCAAGAGCTTGCAGAGTGTAGGAGGCCTTTGCATCCATGAAGGCATGGCTGCTGCTTCAAACCCTTGGCTGTGTGCACACCCAAGAAATACACGTGTTGATAGAAAACAGATTTAAAAGGTAATCGTGAAATTGCTTTAGAGCTCTGGATGTGTTTGGAAGTTTGTGACTGGTTGTCAGTGATGTCATAACCATATTTATTATAGCTCATAAATGGATGGGTCTGACTGTTTTCCTTATTTTAATGTATAAATTACAGTTTATAATGGCAATAAAACACTCCAGGCTGTGCATTTCAGGGTGATTATTGCATTTCTCAGGTGGTTAAAGTTACTCTAACTGCTTTTCAGCTCAGATTTCAATAGCATTTACCCAGTGTTTGGGCCATTTTTACTTGTATTTTTATGCACAAACCTCAAATTAAAGTGTTTTATTGCTTTTTAATTAAAATGTTGAAGTGTAAAGAAGGAATGGCCACAGGCAGATAGTCATGGTAGTAGGTGTTTTGATGTGAAATGAGAATGTATAAGAAGGTAGATGGGCAGAGGAGTGTTGCAGTGACTGTCACTCTGCTTGGGTATTTCACAGGTACCCACTACTAGTTCTAGTAAATACGTGGTTGAATAGAAACTTTTGTGAGCCAAAGGAGCTGGTGTCTACCTCATAAAATCTAGAACTGAGAAATTATGGACTAAATGGCTAAAAACCCTTAATTAAGTGCTCAACACCAATGTGCCCTCTTGGTTGAGGCTGACTTGCTGATGGTTGCCATGCAGAGCCTGTGATGCCTCAGCACATGGTGTTCCTGAGGTCTAAGAGGGGGGAAAAAAAGTGCTCTGGTCTTCTGTGCTCTGACTCTGAGACACTGACCACATCACACATGGCTGATTGTACAGGGTAGACTCCAAATCCAGTGGCAATGGTGGGCTTTTAATAGCATGTAGTTATTCCAGAAGAAAAAAAATCTTGGGTACATGATTGAGTCACTTCACCAGTTTGGCCCATGTGCAGGGTGAAAGCTCTGCTTATTGAAATCCTCTTGGATGATGTCATGTCTAGGTCTTGCTTGCTAAATCAAAGAACCAAAGTCCTTGTGTTGCATGTATTCATTGAGTGGTGGAAGCTGTGTCTGTGCTAGGAGAAAGACTGTCCTATGGAGAGTTAGGGCTGTTCCCTGTTGCTGTTGGACTGATGTATCCGCAACAACATCATTCCTTCACACCTTTCTCGACACCATGCTGCAAGTGAGACAACACCAAGTCCTCGATCAATCCACTGGTGAAGTATGCTCTTTCTGGAGTTGTTTACCACCCTGGGGACCAGTGAGTCCCTCTCCTAGCTTGCTCCTGCAAGCTTCTGGGAGGGCATTGAAGATGAGTGGCACAGCAGGACAGTGTCCATGAGACTCCTGCTTCTTCCTAAGACCTCAATGCTGACATTTTGAGTGTCTTATTTGCACTCGTATACCCCTTTCCATGACAGGTGTGGGATTGGACAGCTGTACACACATGCCAACTTCTTTAACTGGGATCATCTTTACAGGAACTAGTATCAAAGACCTCTGGCTCATATATTGTATGTGCCATTTAAGATAAATTAAACAGAAAATCATGCCCCTAAAAGGTAAGGGAATGAGTATTATAAGCTTCCTAGAGGAAAGTTAAATTAGGGGTTGAGCCTTTCACTAAGAAACACACACCTAACTAAAACTAACCAAAAACTAACTGGTCAGAGTGTCTAATTTTATAGAAAATATGTACATAAAATAATCTTTTCAAAGCACTTTTTTCCATTGTTTCCCCCATCTTTGTTTCTATTTCTCCTGTGCAAAATATCCCTATTGCATACCTCCCCTTTCTTCCCATATGAGAAGGGAAGAAATGCTTAATGGGAAGCAAAGCACATTAGGAATATTAAGGAAAAATTGCAGTATATACACTATGAAATGAAATGCATCTTTTGTGAATAAATCCCCCCAGAAATCTTATATTTCCAGACATCCACTCACATACCTTCATGTAACAACTTATACATTCGTAAAACATTCATTGAAAGCAGCTCTGCAGTTTTATAGAAAACAACATGCCAGGGATGCAAGAATCTTGCCAGTTCTGTGAAAAATGACACCAATTAAAGCTTAAATTGCTTGTTTTCTCATAAGGTACATATTTTCATAACTTTGAAATCAAATAATTGCTGCTTTTATATTAAATACAATAAAACAAAAAGGATGCTAGTTTAGAGGAACTGCTACAAGCATTTTAATATAATTTTCCCACCATTTAAAGTCACAAAATATGGAAAACAAGTCAAGTATGCAAAGTTCCAAGGAGATAGAGAAACTCCTTCAGATTATTACATCATTTGTCTTTTGTGTCAGGAAATGTGTATGTGATTTCATTGTTTGATTAAATGCCAGAAAAAGGCATATTGCTAACTGATCTAACTGATTACAGATTTTATTCATCTGAAAAAGTATTTGTTCCTACTTTGACATTAGAAGGCAATATTTTTTTAATGGTCCAAACAAGCATTTTCAAAAAAATATGATCCTAACTTCCCAGGCTTGTTTTTTATTTTGCATTAACAATGCACTGTACTAAAATTTCCCATACTGAAACACAGTCCCTAGTGGTTTTCAAGCTATAAACTGAGTAAACAGTCCCTTTCTTATTGAGTGTCTTTGTGAATGCATGTTGTTTCTGGAATACATCATATTCATTTGCAGAAACCCTGTGTATGGATCCTTAACACTTTTTTTTTCCCCCTCTTTTTTCTGAGGTACCTAAAATAATAGCTTTTTAGACAGTGTTACAGTCATATAACTTGTTGGGAAAAACACACTATGGCTCGCAGTCTGAATTAAACATGTGTCATTCTAGGTAAGTGTCATTTAAAATACCTATATCTGCTAATTATTCAATATGCTAATGCTATGCTGCTGTACTGTCTCTGAATTATGTGAGCATGTTTTTGGCAATACTGCACTGACTAGAATATAAGAAAATCAACTAAAAATATTTCCATACAGAGTTCCCTTTTTTTTTTGTGTATATAAAGGTGGTACTTGTGATATTTTTTGGACTCTTACCATATCAGGGTTGACAAACTTAGCTTTGCATGCTGAAGAATCTTTTACAAAAATACATAAATAATGCGAGGAGAAACACAAAGCTTCATCTGGGGACTTCAAGGTCATTTACCATTGGCCTGGCCTCCATTAACCTCCACAGGAAATCTTTCAGGATCCTTATTTTATCTTGAGTGGGTGTTCCCAAACGATCAGTCTCCTTTCCCGGGGGCCCCCCCCCCCCCTTTTCTTTGTCTTAACCAAAATAGAGACACGGTAGAGACATTTTCCTTTAAAAGACGATTTTCATCTGATGGAATATTTAAAAAATATTTACAAGTCACGGAGAAATTTGCCAAGATAATGGCGATATTTTAAATCGCTCTGTTAACAGAACACTGCCTAAGTTTGGAAGAAGGAAAAAGAAGATTTAAAAACTTAGAAAGTGATTAATAGTAAGGTATTAAAAGACAGCTAAGCGTTCTCAGTCACTAGGGAAAATAAACTGATATGGTATAATGAGATCCCTACAGTCTTGTGATCAATCCAAAGTAACAAGAATGTAATACCAATGGGTTAACTAATTATATTTAAAAAGTCTCTCAGTAGTTTGAATCATGACCAGTATGAATACTAAAGGTTACATGATCTATTATTAACCCATTAGTACTACATTTTTGGTGTGCTTTAGCAATGAAGAGCTCTACTGGGAGTAAACTCTACAAAATCTGTGTCTTTTTAATAAAGTGAGCAAATTTTTAGTTGGGGAGGGAGAGTATATTTTATTTATGGTGTCATTTTAAACTCTAGTTACAACGTCTTAGATTTAAGAGACAGGCCAGTAATGCAGGCAAGGGTGTCTCCTGCAAGGAGACAGAGATTAATGCCATGTGTACTGATGATTCTTCACCACAATTTAGGATTCTGGTGGCGCCATGACGCCCGTCTTTTATGGTGGTTTGCCAAGAGAAAATTACTTAAACCAATTGTGAATGCATTCCTGTTATACTTTTACACAACCACATTTATGTACATAAATAGTATAATGAGTATTTTTTAAAATGATCTCTCATTCCAGATTCACCTACTTTGCATAAAATGTCAAGAGCAGGAAGGAGAGAAGTTGATTGGGGTTGTTTTGTGTTGGGGATTTTTGGTGTTTTTTTTTTTTTGGGGGGGGGGTTGTTTTATTTTTTCAGGGTTTGGTTGGGTTTTTTTTTTAGTAAGAGAGGTTTTCACATGGGAATGTATCCCCCCCACCTCCTCTCTCTATGCCAACTGACCACAATTGAAGTAGATTCTTCTTAACATGCTGTAATGTGAGAATTTTCTTAAGCTGGAGGGTGTTTTATTCCCTAAATTGAAAGTTGTTCTACTATACTGCATAAAATGTGGACTTGATTAGTAGATTAGGTACCTTTGTCAGGTAAAACCTGGTAGAGGGAGAGCTTGAAGGCCCTCAAAATCACAATAACTTATTAAGACTTCACAGGTCTAAGGCTGAGAATGGCTGAAATGTTCTGGGCTGAGCAGACAATGTCTTTATATTGAGCAGAGTTACACCAGGCAAGAAGAGTATTTTAAAATGTTTTGGCTAACTTTACAACTGCTTTTATCAATTTGTGTATGAATGTAGGTGTTTATGCAACATTAATCTTTTTGGTTTCAAAATTTTTCAATGGAGACACTTATTCTTTTTTTTCTTAATCTATGAAGAAGGGCTTTGTGGAGTTGTATGGTGTTACTTTTGTGAGGCTGCTGTAGGTCAATATAGCGAGATTTATTAGTGTCTTTTAGAAGTGCTAGTATTCTAATAATTGCCATATTTTTAGGAGAGAATATCTTTTTGCTATCTAAACCACTTAGTCTATCTGCATGAGTTCGATTTTTGGTCATGTTACTGTCTGAAGGCTATTTTCAAGTGCAAGTGTGCTCATGCTGGGTGATGGAGCCCACTGAGCTGGTCTGTTCCTCTGAAGGTCTCTAAAACTTGAAATGAAGTATCTAACTTGATATTTAATGGAAAGAGGACTGGTGTAAGGGTGATGGGCTTGGAGCCACTTCTGCTTCCGGTTCCGGTTTTCTGTACTTCAAAATATTTGTGTTTCCTTTTTATTTAGTGATTTCCTACTGTGACTATGAGAACCATGGTAATCAAGCCTGAAGCTTCTGACTGGCATAGTAATATATTTAAATATTAATCTGGCTGGAGTGGCTAAAGGTATTGCTGTAGCTGGGATGGAATAATACGCATATGTAGGTGAGGGCTTTGTCCAAAGCCAAAAAGAACATTACTTCTCAGTCCCTAGGCTTGGACAGTTCTTCCTGATCTGCCATGTGGAGTGGAGGGATTTAATAAAATATCTTTAGTGAGAGTTATAGTTTTTGCAAACAGTTATGTCAATGAGTTTCTGAAGAGGTTATCGGGTACTGTCTTGCAGCTATTGTGACAAATAGTTCACATGAAACTTGTGAATAGAAGCTGATCTAACTATATTGATATTTTTATAGTATTCATGGTAAAGAATTTACGGTGAACTTGCCACTGGTAGCCGCAAGAGAGGTGCCCCAAAGAAGAGATACAAGGACTCCCTGAAACAATACCTTAGCCTTGGCCATATTGACTACCATCAGTTGTCCACCTTGGCCTCCAATCGGGAGACTTGGAGGCACACCATACATAATGCTGCTGACTTCTTTGAGAGCTCACGAAGAACTAGTCTCGAGGAGAAAAGACAACGCAGGAAGAATCGTGTCCCACCTGTTCCACCCAAGGAGACCTTCTGCTGTGCTTTTTGTAGCCGGACTTGCCTATCCCACATTGGCCTTCTTAGTCATCAGCGTGCTTGTAGTAAGCGTGGGTAAATGCCCTTCCCAAATCTTCGTTCGCGAAGTCAAGCCATGATGATGATGGTAAAGAGATGTTTAGTAATCAGGCCTCTCTTCTCCATGCAAAAAAGGTGGTCTCCAGTATAGTTTTATGTGTTATTTAACATAACATTTTGGTTTGGAAATTAGAGATTGAGTTAAAATTATTACCTATAGTATTTCAAAAGTAATTTCCTCTTCATGTGCAATTAAGATCAGTGTTTACATATAAATTCAATGTCATAATAACATAACTTTTTACTGCTACAAGTGGTTCCTTCAGTTTATACTGACTGTTATACTGGTGCATGTTATACAACCAATACTGGCTGTTATACTGGTGCAAATTACATGGGGTGGTCTCAGCAACACACTTTCTCTGGAAGCTGGAGAAATCTGGCAAAAGTGAAAGAGAATGGCTAGAAGATTAAACAGTTTGGCAACCAAGGCAGAAGAGGAGGTCTGCTGGCAACTGAAGAGGACTTATTTGCATTGGAAATAAAGAAGGTCTAGCAGTATGGAAGGATAGAGAAAAGACTTTGGAAAAGAGATGGAAGGGCTAAGTACACAGGACAGAAAGGTCAACAGGAAGATTGGCAGGAGAGCAAGAGTCTGCCTCCAGAGAGAAGCAGAAAGGGATGACTTCTTAAAATAGAAAGTCCAAGGAGTATCATCAAAGGATTCAGCTGTGGGAAACCTGTCTAGCTAAAGAGGCAGCAAGTCTCAAATGTTTATTATTTTTTATTTTTTTGAATGCTGCAAGAAGGAAATCAGTCAATTTAATTGGAAAAAGACAAAAAACAAAAAAAAAAAAACAAAAAAACCAAAACCCAAAGCAAAACCAAACAAAAACCAAACCACAAACGAAAAAAAAACCCACCAAACCATGTTTAGCTTCAGACTAACAAATTTGCCTTTCAAATTTTCTTCAGAAACTTCTGGTGCAGTTCAGAAAGTCCCAAATTAGAACCTAGGATCTTATCATTTCTGGGTCATAAACTGTCCAGCTGTAAGCAACACAGATGAAAATGGAAGTACTGGGCTAATTTGCAGACATATGGAATCTTATAATAAGGAAAAGCTACACTTTGAATTACAAAAGATTAAGTTTTAGCCCAATCTACATCACTGGGTGAAATTTTCAGACTTATTCAACACTCAAGATCTCTTATAGTCACCTATCATGTCAGTATTTATGTTAGCTTCCAAATTCAGGATTTGCTGTTAAAATTTACACCAACAAGTAATTTTTGTTACTTTTTATGAGTGCATGAGATAATACAGCATATATCAACTACTGTTTATGGAGAAATGTTGACTTGTGACATAATTATGCTTGATAGCTTGATTATTAATTTCTTTGTTACTTCTATAGATTTGGATTCTGTCCCGTTTGACTTCCAGTTTTTGACTGTCAAGTGTACAGAGAGGATACAAGTATGATAAAGTAAAGGCTGGGTGTTTATGGGATTTACTCCCCCTGCCACTGTGGAGCATTGTACCATGGGTCTCTCTGTGCAAGAGGGAACTAAAAACCATGTAACTAATGCACAAAATGTTTGTTTGATACCTGTCACATTACCACTGTAGTCCTATAAAAATTTGATACTACATTTTTTGTCTATTGTACATTTGTAATAAAGGGAAAAAGTTATAATTTTACCAAAATACATATTTAAGTCTTGAGCCCTGTGTTGAGAGGTTTGACATTTCAACACTGGTACTCAAGCAGGAAAATAAATTCAAAATGTCCTTTAAGAGAACTTCCATTTACTGATTTCTTGCTATTCCAAAGTAAGTCCTGGGTGCTGGGCTGACAATGATCAGTATTTCAGAGGAAGACAGAAGCCAAACACTTCGATGAATCTAACTTTACAGAGCAAATGTTAATACTAGAGACTGGCATGTGTTTGAGTTTCTAACAGCTAGATATGAATTCTGTTG